AAAATAAGTATCTGTTGTTTTAACGATTCAAAGTAAGCCCTAACATCATCCACAAATCAATAGCATCTGGTGCATCTCCTTGCAAACACCCTGTAAATTGGGAGTTTTCCTGGGTTCCATACCAGCCACCATGCCATGTTCTCCAGGAGGCACCACACCTCCACTTTATCTTTTTCTTTTCTTTTTTGAGCAAGCAGGAGAACGATCCTAGCAGTGGTGCCTAGCCACTGAGAGGGGCTGAATTTGGGGGCAACCCTTCCTGCTGAGGGCAGGAGGAATTCCTATCCCAGGTTGTTCACTGCTAGGCAAGATCTGAATGAAATCTTGGGGGCACCTGGGTGGCTCAGTGGATTAAATCCTCTGCCTTCAGCTCAGGTCATGATCCCAGGGTCCCAGGATCGAGTCCTGCATCGGGCTCTCTGCTCAGCAGGGAGCCTGCTTCCTCCTCTCTCTCTCTGCCTGAACTCTCTGCCTACTTGTGATCTCTGTCAAAGAAATCTTGGGCTCCCTGTTGAACAATTCTGCTTGTTGCACCCAAAGCCCTAGAGAAGTGAGTTCATGTGTAGGAAATGGTAATGCACTCTTGGAGAATGGGGTTTTAGCAGAGAAGATAGAATGTTAAAAGCCCTTTTAAAAAAAAAGATTTTATTTACCTATTCGAGAGAGAGAGAGACAGTGAGAGAGAGCATGAGAGGCGAGAAGGTCAGAGGGAGAAGCAGACTCCCTGTGGAGCTGGGAGCCCGATGCAGGACTTGATCCCGGGACTCTGGGATTGTGACCTGAGCTGAAGGCAGTTGCTTAACCAACTGAGCCGCCCAGGCGCCCATTAAAATGTCTTTTTATAAATCCAATTATATCTCCATAATAAGGTAGGAAACCCATATAACCATTTTTGAGGTATGCCAAGAAGGTGTTTGGTAAAAATCAGCATCCAGTCCTGATTTTTTTTAAGTCTTAGCAGATCAGGTCTATAAAGATAGTTCATGAACATGGTAAACAAACAGTCATAGCCAACGGTTGGCATTTCACCTAATAGTGAAAGAGGAGATCTATCTCCCTTCAAGTCAAGATAAGACCCAGAGGCCGTGCCAGTGAGGAATGAAACAACTGTGAGGAATGACAAATGGACTGAAATAGTTTTTTCTTACACAACAAGAATTTAGGAAGTTGAAAGTTGGTGGTTGAAACAGCTGCTCAAAAATTTCATCCAAGGTCTAGAATCCTTCTATCTTTCCATTCCACTACATGTGACTTTTGTCCTCAATTGTCTCATGGTTACAAGATGGCTACAACACCTCCAGGCATTGTATCCAAGTTCCAGGCAGGAAGCAGGGGAGAGGGAGGAATGCAAAGCAAAGACTTTTCCCAAATCTTAGCAGATTTCCACTTGAGCCTTGCTGTTCAGAATTGGGCCATGTGGTCACCCTAGCTGTAACAGAGTCTTTAGAGACCAAAATGTTTTGGGGGTGACACACATTGGCCCCTACCCCAAACAGAATCTGCCACAGATGACCACTGCCACCAGCACTGAGTGCTGCTCTGAAAGTGCTAGCCAACATGGGTTTTAAAAAGAAACAAAATAAAAGGCTATCTATATGAAAAGGAGAGGCAAGCTTTTTATTTCCAGGTTATATGACAGATTAAGTCCAATAAAATAGTAAGTTGTTAGAAACCTAGATTAATTCAATGAAGTTGCTAGATATAAAATAAATATACAAAAAGATATATACATTCAATAGTTGTCCTATATAAAACAGAAAGACTCCACTTAGAAATCCACAAAATCAAAATGAACTGAAGAATAAACATATTGAATATGTATGTAAGAAGACCTACAAAGAAAAAACAATACAGCCTTCCTGATGGTTAGAGGCAGATTTGAATGACTGGGGCTTTGATACGAAGATTGAGTATTACATAGAACTTAGGAATTCTTCACACATCAGTTAATTCTTTTAAAAAAAAATATTTTATTTATTTATTTGGCATAAAGAGAGATCACAAGTAGGCAGAGAGGCAGGCAGAGAGAGGGGGAAGCAGGCTCCCCACCGAGCCTGGAACCCGATGTGGGACTCGATCCCTGGACCCTGAGATCATGACCTTAGCCGAAGGCAGAGGCTTAACCCACTAAGCCACTCAGGCGCTCACATTAGTTAATTCTAATCAAGATCCCAGTGAGGAGGGGCACCTGGGTGGCTCTGGGTTAAGCCTCTGCCTTCGGCTCAGGTCATGGTCTCGGGGTCCTGGGCTCTCTGCTCAGCAGGGAGCCTGCTTCCCCCCTCTCTCTCTGCCTGCCTGTCTTCCTACTGGTGATTGCTCTCTTTCTGCCAAATAAATAAATAAAATCATTAAAAAAAAAAAAAAAAAAGATCCCAGTGAGGTGTGCAGGGACAAGAAGAGGTTGAGCTCTGAGAAAAAGAATCCTGGGTCATCTGGAAGAACAGATTTTTAAAAAACTTTTTAAAAAAACTACTGAAAATACTGTCCTGGTCAGTATGACTACATATAAAGTGAATTATGAAGCTACAAACAGAAAAGAGAAGTCTAAGGGACAGTGAAGAATGCCATTCTAGAATGATGCAGGGACCCTGGAAGTTACATCCCAAACAGACAGATTTAAGAGTTAAATGCAAAACATGGAACCAAAAAAGGATTTAAAGAAGGGGCTTTTTAAGGGCCAAGGAAAAAATACAAAGAAAAAGACAAAAAGACCAATTGCACAGGATCTGAACATTTCTGTGCATTAAAAATGTAACAAAGATAAAAAGGTATGTGCCAACATGCTTTGTGTGTGTGTGTGTGTGTGTGTGTGTATGTGTAAAGAACAAAGACTGGAATTAGACAATTCATACGAAGAGAAGAAAAAGGTAAAAAAACATGAACCAATAACACTCTTGGTATATCAAAATGGTAAATATAAAAAGCAGACACGATGCCAAGTGTGTACACGGGTGCAGGGAAAAGGATGCTCTTGGGGCCCATGTGGGAGACTTAAGAATGTCATGCTGGGTTCGACCTAGAAACAGCTTTGCAAGGTTTGTGAACTCTGCCCATGAACTCCACTTCTCAGAATTTATTCTGAGGAAATGATCGAAGGGCCAAATGGGCTTATGTTCCAGAATTATTTATAAGTACAGATAATGATGTTCAACAATAAAGGAATAGATCAATCATGCCACAATGGGAACATCAATGTTTCTGAAAAATATTCTGTAAAGTGGAAAATGTTCATCATAAAACATTAAATGGAAAAAGACAGAAATAACACCCAAAGAATGAATCTAGTTTTGCTTTAAAAGCAAAGGCATATTATATGAGCACAGAAAAAATATAGAAGTAAGTGTACCTCTGGCAGTGGCCTATGAACTGATACCAAGGGGTATTTTCTTACAATTTTCTGACTATTTTTCCAAATTTCTTCAGCACATACATATTGCTTATATAGTCAGGAAAAAAAAAAAGTTTACATGTAAATGAAAGAAAAACATCAAGTCTCCAATGAAGAGGGGGAAGGGTATTTTCAAATCATTTTCAAGACAAAAGGCCAAGAATCACAGCATGTTCAATATTCAGCCTCATTCGCCATTGAAGGTGCAAAGTATGGAGATGATAAGCCGCCACTTAGCCGAGTACACAGAAGCCCTCACCGCAGGGCTAACAGCAGTTGCGGTGTCCAGGGCCCTGCAGAGATGTTTTCACTGTAAGTTCTTTTGATATTAGAAGGAGAGTGTGATGATGACGAACTAAGCCCAGATTGTATTTGTCTTTTACAAATGCAGCTGTACAATAGGACTTTTCCTACTTGTCACGTAGGGTCCATGGTGGCCACGATGTGGCCCTAGGAGGCCGCTTGCACACTCTGGAGGGCTGTGGTGGAGTGGCAGGTGTCCGGGAGCACCACTGTGTGGTCACCGTGACCTGAATGAAGACTGTCTGGACACCCAGCTTTGAGCCGGAGTCTCCCTGGCACAGGGGACGCTCCGACCTGAGCACTATTGCTGGCTGATCTCTTCATAATGAAATGGTGTGACTTTATACACCACCAAAACCATATAAAAAATGGTTCCTGAGGTTATTTCCTTATCTCAAAACTTTCACTTTTAGAAATCTAAGAAAATGCTAAAGATGTTCTGTGAAGAATGGTTCATAACAGTGAAATGATCTATAATAGTGAAAACACAGAAATAACTTCAACATCCAACAAAAGAACATCTAATAGAATCCTATGCCTCCATTGGGAATTAAAACTCCAGACAGTTCAGTGATGTGGGGAAAAAAGTCTGCTATGCAGCTAGGTGGAAAAAAAAAAAAAAGATTAAAATGATATATACACTATGTTTGCAGTAATGTAAAAATCCACTTTGAAACAAGCAGAAGGTAATGTATCAAAGTGCGAAATGCAGTTTATTAGGAATTATGGGGGGCCTTTTTCCTGACTTCCACATTTCCCGAAATGTGGTTATTTTGCTGCCATAATTTAAAAAGTATACTAAAAAGCACTTCATAAACTATAGCTCTCTATATAAATGTAAAGTATTATCACTGAGAAAGCAGCTTAGACTTGCTTAGGACTGAGCGGAAAGAACATTAATTCTAGATGAAGCCCACCCACCTCTGCAGAGAGCACGGGCACAGTTCCTGTGGAGGGCTTCCTCCCGCAGGGCTGAGCCAGCGAGCTGAACTCCCTGGAGCAGAGGGAGGCACTGCGAGGTGAAGGTGCGCTTCTAGACACATCTATCCCAGCACCAGGCCCTGGATGGACGCCGAGCATCCATCTATGTGCTCGCCATTTCCCAGCGGGGACCAGATGGCCAGGCCCGATGCTGGCACATCAGGACCTGGCTACGCCGAAGCCGGGCTGTGCTCCTGAGACGGAGAGCTGTCGCTACCAGAAGACTCTGTTGTAGAGCTGCTGCAGGGAGGTGAGTCCAGGAAATCTGCCTTTTCCTAAACCCCCACTATTTGAGATCATTCTCCCCTCCTGGAATATACTAATGTTCACTTGGAATACTGTTAGTAATTCTTCTGTTTGTTTTTATTATTATCATTATCCTCCAAAACATAACATACAAAGGAAATTCCTGATCAAGATCATACCAGGAGCCCGTCCGAGGACACAATGATCAATACACCTTCTTTCTGCCTGCAGGAGAGACCCCGTGTCTTGCAAGCCCATTAAGGAAAGCAGGCCGATGGGACACCCTCAGATGGCCCGCAGCTCTTCTTTCCTACACTGGAGCGCTTCCTGGGGTGGTGATGACTTCTGAGAGAGTGGTCCCAGTGCGTGGGTCATCGGCACAGGCAGCAGAGCCAGTCTCTAAACCGGAGGCATGAGTGGGCTGTATGTATCTGAGCTGCTGTGCTTTCCCCTTTCTGGGGAAGGAGTGAGGCCAAGGGGCGGGCACGCCACGCTAATTTCCAGGCTTGCTGCCCAGCGGGGATGTCCTGCCAGCTGGGGGCTGCACGGCACACAGGAGCTCTGCCACGTCTAGGGCATCGATTGTGTCCACGCTGCTCACGCCCGCGTCCCCTGTGCCCAGCAGGCCTCCCGGCACATAGTAGGTGCTCAGTAAGTGCTTGTTAAACTCAATGGTGAAGGGTTTCTCCTCACTGTGTCTTCTCTGGTGTTCCGCAAGGTGGGCGCTCCAGCCGAACATCTCCCCGCATTCGTTACATCGGAACGACTTCTCCCCGGAGTGGACTTTCTGATGTTTGATAAGACAGTGATTCTGGCTGAAGGCCTTGCCGCACTCGCCGCACTTGTAGGGCTTCTCCCCGGTGTGGATGCGCTGGTGCACGATGAGCGACGAGTGGCAGCTGAAGGCCTTCCAGCATCGGCTGCAGTCGAAGGGCTTCTCCCCAGTGTGGATGCGCTGGTGCACGATGAGGTAAGAGTGGGAGCTGAAGGCCTTGCCGCACTCGTTGCACTTGAAGGGCTTCTCCCCACTGTGGATGCGCTGGTGCACGACGAGGTAGGAGTGGCAGCTGAAGGCCTTGCCGCACTCACCACACTTGAAGGGTTTCTCACCCGTGTGGATGCGCTGGTGCAGGGTGAGGCGCGAGCGGCTGCTGAAGGCCTTGCCGCACTCGCCGCACTTGAACGGCTTGTCCCCGTTGTGGATCTTCTCATGCACGGTCAGGGACGAGTGGCAGGTGAAGGCCTTGCCGCACGCGCCGCACTGGTAGGGCTTCTCGCCAGTGTGGATGCGCTGGTGGCGGGTCAGGTGCGTCCTCTGGTTGAAGGCCTTGCCGCAGGCGCTGCACTGGTAGGGCTTCTCGCCTGTGTGCACGCGCAGGTGCATGTTGAGCAGCGAGCTGCAGCTGAAGGCCTTCTCGCAGGCACTGCACTTGTAGGGCCGCTCGCCCGTGTGGATCCGGTGGTGCACGTTCAGCGACGAGTGGCAGCTGAAGGCCTTGCCGCACTCGCTGCAGAAGAATGGCTTCTCCCCGGTGTGAATGCGCTGGTGCTCGATGAGGTTGGTGCTCCACGTGAAGGCCTTGCCGCATTCGTGGCACTTGTAGGCTTTCTCTCGGGCGTGCCACCGCCGGTGCAGTGTCAGGGACGAGCTCTGCCGGAAGGCCTTCCCGCACTCGCCACACACGAACAGGCTGTCCCCTGCCGCCACTCCCCGCCGCCGGCTCAAGGGTGGGTGTTTGCTGCGGTCACTGGACTTGCTGGGGCCTCTCCCTGGGCCCCCTCTCTGTCCGCCAGACTGGATGCTTGCGGTGGGCCTGTCAGGAGGGTCTCCTTCTGCAGGAATGGTCTGAGGGGTGAAGAGGGTACACCCAGCGGGGAAATCCTCAGATGCCTTGCAGCTGTGCCAGCGCCCCTCCGGGGGAACGTCCCCCAGGCTGCCCGGCGCTAGCCTCCGCAGCGCAGCTTTGCCTCTTCCTGGAGCAGCCGCCAGGCCCTCGCTGGCCCACTCGCTGCCACTGGAGCTGAGGACGCTGGACCTCCCCAGTGGTTTGGTGATCGGCTCCTGGCAAGGCTCTTCCTTGTAAACACCCTGCTGTTGACACGACTTGTCCTTCACCCCAGGTCCGGGCTCCCCCTCTATAAGAAATGGGAAATGAAATCTTCTGTAAGCCGGTGGAGGCGATGCACGAGAGTCCAGACTGAGGTCTGATGGGGGTTTGGATAAGCACAGAGAGAAGAGGGCAGGCCATTGCCAGAGCTCACGAGGGCCTGAGAGGCAGAGCCCAGGGGCATGCATCTTGAGTGAGATGGGCCACAAGCCCACGAGCGGGGAGGAGGAAAAAGAGACGGGGAGCTCCATATTGAGCCAGGGGGTAAGGGACGGAGCAGGGCTCACGGGGTCTGGCAGGTGGACAGAACTCACTTATTGAGACATCGACTGAGACTGCTGTGTGTCGGAATCGGGTTGGGGCTAGGCGTGAACACGGGGTAAACACAATCCAGAAATGGTAATTACATCTAAATTCTCCCTGGTGCCAGAAGGCAAAAGAATGCCCCCAGACCGCCTCTCTTTGGTTTTTCCTTTGAACGCTTCAAGCTGTAAGTGTGTGCTCTGGCCCTGACACATATGTATGTTTCTTTAAAAGCTCAATTCGTCTCTTGTCAGCTTCACATCCCTGGAGGGCCGTCCCCCTCAGAGCCACCTCTGTGAATGGTGATCCCCACCTCCCTGTACCCCCACACTGACTCTGCCCTCTTCTTGGTGAGGGAGGCCCTGAACCCCAGTTCCAAGCAGACTCCCCACCTTTGTCCATCCAACAAGTGCCACTTGTGAAATGTTTCCAGAGACATGGACATGATTTCTGTTTCCCACCAGTCGAAGGCAGATGTCTTTGCCTGTTTTGCTCACCACTGTATTCCCAGCATGGTTCCCCCCAACATAGTTGGTCTTCTGTGTGTGCTGAAGGAAGGAAGGGAAGCAGGACCATAAGGAGGTGGGGTGGGGGGCGGTCCTGGGAGGCAGGAGTCTGCACATCCTTCCACTGTGCCCCCCACTCACCTGGACAAGCCCCTCCAGGGACTTCTCTGGGCATCCACCAAGGCTCTTCGCCTCGTTCTAGATGGGAGATCACATCCGGCTTGCAGACTGGGGGTCCTGCTTGCAGGGAGAAAGAGGTGTGCTGTAGCTCCCCAGGGCATGGCTGTCCGGGACCCAGTACCTCGAGGTGTGTGCCATCCCCAGGGATGGGGGGGCTCTTACACGCAGAATCCAAACTCATGTGTGTGCTCTGAGGAACCCATGGGTACTGACACCCCCCTGCCCAGTCTCTCTTGGAAAGCTCCAGGCAGGCTGGGCTCTCAGGCCCCTGTCCACCCCCTCCCTCTCTTCTGGCCCACTCCAGGACCAGCCCCACCTCAGGCAAAGATGCTGGCAGTGACATGCACTGTCCAGCCCCAACACGAGTGTAGCGGCCACACACCCCACATCCTGCAGGGCCAGCACCAGGGCTGGTACCACAGGGAGGCTTGGTAATACCTGTGGCATGGCAGAGTGGCTAGACCGCACACTGGGCTTCAAGGAACTGTCTTACCCAGGGCAAGAAGGTTCTGGTAGTTCTCCAGCATCACGTCACGGTACAAGGCCCTCTGAGGGGAGTCTAGCTGGCCCCACTCCTCCTGGGTGAAGTCCACAGCCACATCCTTGAAAGTCACTGATTCCTGGAAGGACAAGCACATTCTCATTCACCCAGGACAGGAATGATTTGGACTGTGTTCATGGTTCCAAGCAAGCCAGATGTCAATTGAGGACCTTGGGGATGAAGGGTTAACCTCTGATGACCCTCTCTTCAGGATGGAAGGTGCTATAGGACGCCATCTATCATATAGCCCTAACATACACAGCATGCCTGGGCCAGGAAGCGCCAAGCAGACCTGGCCTTCTGGACTGGGAGGGCCAAGTGACCTGGCCAGCCTGGGTCCAGGTGCCTGTTGGGCTGGAGGCTGCTGTTAAGTTCTGTGTAAAATGCTATGCTTCCCATGGTTAAGAATGTCAAACTTAAGAACCTGAAAGAATAGTACAAAGAACCCAGAAGCCCTCTTGAAATCTCACCATTGCAAAAGGACCCTACTCTGGAGAGGAAGCCATTATCACACCCTAAGGAAGGAAACCATACTTATCAGCAAGTTTTGTCAGCAAGAGACCAAGGGAGCCACTCTCGGTTCTTCTTGTCTGCCTCCCACACCTTCCCACGGGACCCCTGCTCCCCTGCCCTCCCTGAATCCAAGTACTGACCTGCTTCCACCTTCCCCGGCAGGGGTCACTGACACTTGCATGCACTCCTGTTCTAGAACCCCAGGCTCTTCTGCTGATAGGGCTCCTCACCCACTCTGGAGTCTCCAGGTTGCCATCCCCAATGCTCCTCTTGGTCTCCACACTCCAATCCCACCCTGGGTCCCCCTTGCCAGCAAATAAGCCCTCAAAGCCCATCGGGGTGCCGACCTAAGGTGGTAAGGGTGGTTTGCTCTTCAAAGATGTGGGCGCCCTGGGAGCCTGGCTTAAATCGTAGACAGGGCACGACATTAGACATAAGAATGAAGAATAAATCAAACAGGGGAGGCCTGGCTCCCATCTCCCTGTTTGTTGGGAGTGACTGGCATGCGGCCAAGCTCCCAGGGGTCACCACATTTTTCTGGAAACCCTGGGTCTGCATCAGCACCCATGGTCATACACCGGGGTGTGGAATTTCAAGCCCTGAGATGGCTATCAGACAGTCTTGGGAAGAGAGGGGACATCCTCTGGGGTCACAAGAGATTTGACCTTTAGCTCTAAAAGTGGTTTATACTTTTAGATAGTTCTCAACTTTGCTGCAGACTAAACTGTGTCCCCCTGAAATTCCTATGTGGAAGCCCTCCCTTCCAGCGTGATTGTGTTTGGAGACAGGGTCTTTAGGAGGTAAATGAAGCTACGTGGGGTCATAAAGGTGGGCCCTGATCTGACAAGCCTGGTGGTCTCTGAGAAGAGGACAAAGGCAATCTCTCTCCCCATTGCGAGTTCTGAGGACAGACCACCTGAGAGCATGGTGAGAGCCAGGTGGAGAGCTGCAGCAAACCGGACCCCGACAGCACCCTGATCTCACACTGCTGGCCCCCGGAACTGTGAGGAAATCAATTTCTGTTGTTGAAGCTGCCAAGTCACTGGCATTTTGTTACAGCAACCCGAGCTAAGACAAATGCCGAGCTAAGACAAATGCCACCCTAAAACAGGAGGAAAGATTTTTTTTTTTTTTTTTAAAGATTTTATTTATTATTTATTTGACAGAGAGAGATCACAAGTAGACAGAGAGGCAGGCAGAGAGAGAGAGGGAAGCAGGCTCCCTGTCGAGCAGAGAGCCCGATGCGGGACTCGATCCCAGGACCCTGAGATCATGACCTGAGCCGAAGGCAGCAGCCTAACCCACTGAGCCACCCAGGCACCCGAGGAAAGATTTTTGTACTACACACAAAATACAACTCCAGCTACAGCAAGGATCTAAATGTGGAAGCTTCTGGGAGACGATTCCAAGTCCGTGGCTGGCATGATAGCAAACCTGGAAACCAGGAGGAGAAGATTTACATTTGCTTCCTGAAAGTTTACATTTTCTTTCCTTTCTTTAAGATTTTATTTATTTATTTGAGGGAGAGCACGAGTGAGCAGAGGGGAGAGGGAGAAGTGGACTCCTCACTGAGCACGGAGCCCAATGGGGGACTCGATCCCAGGACCTTGGGATCATGACCTGAGCCAAAGGCAGCGGCTTAACTGACTGAGCCACCCCAGTGCCCTGGAAGTTCATGTTTTCTGCAGGCAACACTGACAAATTGCTATGAAGAAAAAAAGAAAATGGGCCTAGGGTATAAGCAGACAATTCACAGAAGACCGGCAAATCACTAAGCCCATGAGGCGACACTCAGTCATACCAGACATCCTGAAATGCGGAATAAAACAGAAAGATACTGTTTCGCACACAGAAGAGAGGCAAAATGTTTAAAGCCTGCAAATACAAAGTGTGGGCTGGTCCATGGAGAGATGGGATGGTCTTACACCTCCCGACAGGTGTAAGGGGGACAACCATTTTGGAGAGCAAAACATATTCTACTATCGCTAGCAAAAGCTGACATTCCCTGCACCTTGAAAGGCCACTGTGAGATTCCTACCCAGCCTAGAGTGGTTGAGAAAACACTGGAAACATGCTGAACGTCTATCGGGAGCGATGAATATACAACAGGGCACCGTGCAGCACTGAAAATGAGCATGGCAGAGGAACCTGTCCATGGGGAGCTCTTGGGAGCACGGCAGTGGTTACAAAGGCAGCCTGAGGGGACCCATGCCCAGCGTGATGCCCAGCAGTCCCGTGTGGAGGTTACAAATACTCCAATGTGCATCTAGCTCCGCTGTCTGCTGGGTAAGGGCGCAGGCTCTGAGCCTAGTGGCCCAGGTGGGCTCCCCATCTTGTTCTTACTAGCTATGAGTTGGGGGTGCCTCAGTTGCCTCGTCTGCTAATCGTTCATGTCATTGCATCACAGTGAGGATTCAATGAATTACTACTACATGTGAAGCGCTCATCCAAGGGCCTGGCAGACAGCAGGTGTCCTCTGGTGTTTGCTGTTAGTCACCGTCCTCTGAAACTGTCATAGACTGAGGAGGGCAGGAGAGGAGGGAGATCCTGCCTTTACCTGCAATATTTTGTTTTGTTTTGTTTTAGGATTTTATTTATTTAACAGACAGAGATCACAAGTAGGCAGAGAGGCAGGCAGAGAGGGTCGGGGGAAGCAGGCTCCCTGCTGAGCAGAGAGTCCGATGCGGGGCTCAATCCCAGGACCCTGAGATCATGACCTGAGCCGAAGGCAGAGGCTTAACCCACTGGGCCACCCAGGCACCCACAATGTTTTGTTTTTTAAAAGGATTTGGAACAAATATGACAAAAGGTAGACATTAATTTTGCAAAACAGGTACATGGAAAGTTGTTATTATTCTGTTTAACTGTTTCAAATTTAAAAAAAAGAAAAAGCCACTCGAAAAGGAAGAAATGCAAATTTCCAACAGACGATGCAAGACTAATGATTTCTTGTCAGGAAAATGGAAATCAAAACAAAAATAAGGTCATGCGTTTTTCCCTATCAGAGCAGCACTAATTAAAACCTGGGATCTCGGCCGTGAGTAAGCATTTTTGTCAGGAGTGGGAACTGTTACACCCTTCTGGGTACTTATACTACAGAAACAAAAGTTCCTGCACATAAGGAAGCAAATGCAAGGCAGGATATCGCAGCACTGTACTTACCCCAAACCAACCAACCAACCAAGATATTAGGACAGCAGGCTAAATTAGGGCACATGCACACAGGCAGACCATGGAAAATAATGCAGCTAGCCCAAGACATGCGTTGTATGTTACACTAAGTGAAGGAGGCCAGAAAAAGGTGGCCACATACTATATGATCTCATTAATGTGCAATGCCCAGAATAAGCAAATAGAGAGAGGCAAAAAGCAAATGAGCGGTTGCTGAGAGCTAGAGTGACTGCTGATGGGCACGGGGGTTCTTTCTGGGTAAGGAAATGGACTGTGGTGACAGCTGCTCTACATGAGTGCACTCAAAACCACCGAACAGGACGCTTGTCAAGGATGGATTTTATGGTATGTGAATTACATGTCAACTTGAACACAGGACAGCACTGGAATGTATACAGTATGATCCCATTTTTAAAACAATATGCTTAAGCCTATGTACGTTGGAGTCTGAGTATGAGAACAAGGGGAGAGATGTGGGAGTCAATGTCAAAACTGGGGACACTGGTTGCCTTAGGGGACTGTGACCATAGGTATGGGGAAAGGAGGAGATTAGTGATAGACTGTGCTGTGGGACTTTGTTACAAAGCAAATACCGGTTTGATAAATTTTTAAAAAATTACTTTTCGAAGAAGAAGGAATTAAAAGCAGAGCAGTGGTTAGCTGCACCATTTTGGTCTAGATACCTAGTTTGCTCAAGCCTCAGTTTCTCCAGCTAGTGAAAGGACTGGGAGCAGTGGGGCCCCCTGAGGTCGAGAAGAAAAGGAAGTGGGGTAGAAGTATGCCAGTCTTGGGTATCAAGGAAAGGACCCAGCATCTGTCAGTCCACACTTGGCCATCTCCTACCCACTGGCTGCGCACACCAAGAAGCTGGAAACCCGACCCCACCCGAAGAGTTGGGAGAAAACAAAGAGCAGACTGGGCCGTGTCCAGAATCGTGACAGGGATGTCTATGGTCTCAGGCATTAGAGGAGGGGTGGACCACAGCAGAGAGGCCAAGGGCACAAAAATGGGGTGAGTTGGGCTTCAGCAGTACAGTGAACCGAGGTGGCAGAGGTGTGTGTCCTGAGACTTCATGCTCTTGGAGCTTTGGCGTCCTAGGAGGAGCGGTAGGGGGTGCCGCTGTGGGCCAGACTGGGAAGACAAGTACTCCAAGGTCCAGATCCTTGTACTCTGCAGCAGGATGGACAGAGGGAAGGCGGGAGAGAAGGACAACAGCTTCTGAGTGTGGGCTGGAGGACTGAAGCAGCAGCCTGGTCAAAACTGGGTTTCCTGTTCTGCTGCCAGACAGAAAACAGTAACAAGGACCACATGTGCCCTCTTACCTCAAACAACTAGTAAACTGGGCAAAACGTATAAAACAATGATTGATTTCAAGACACTGGACAAGCTACAGTT